ACTGCCCTCCTGCAAGGGGCCAGAGGGAACACACCCCCGCCCTGATTTTGGATGTCTGGACGTCTGTGTCCTGGTGTGTGGGGCGTCTGGCTCTACAATCCATACAGTCCTCCCAACTCTGGGAAGTGGGTCCCATCACCTCCGTTATGCATGAGGACATTGAGGCTGGAGGAGATGACGCCCCAGGTCACACGTGTGCAGTCGGGACGTGAAGCTCAAGTTTCATGGGCTCCAGCCCCCCTGCTCCCGCCCGGCACCCCGCCTGTCTCATGGCTCCCGTCAGTCTCTGGGGCCTCGGCTTCCACCTGCCCCTTCAGGGTTGGCTGCAGGCTTCTCATCCCCTCTCACCCCATTACCAGAGATTCTCTCTCTCTTTTTTTTTTTTCCTGTCCAAGTTTTTATTTCAATGTCAGTTCACATACATAACAGTTTATTCAGTTTCTGGTGTAGAAATGAGGGATCCGGTACTTCCGTACAGTAGCCTGTCAGGCGCCCTCCTCCGTGCCCGTCCCCAGTTTCCCCCCTCCCAGCACAGGGGTTCTTCAGCGGGGTCCGCAGGTCCCTTGGCTTCGGGGATCCCGTGACCCTCGCATCGTTGTGCAGAATGTAAAATGTGTATGTGCTCATGTGTGTGTGGTTTTTTTCTGAGAAGAGAAGCCATAGCTTTTATTTTAGGAGACAGGCTGGGGGTTTGTTGGTACTTGGTATTTTTATGGCTGGGAAAACCCCGACATGCCCAAATCATGTCTTGGTCTTATTTCTCCTTTCCCTGAAATTCTTGAGGAGTCTCTGCCTCAGGACAGTGACAATGGGAGAAAAGAAACCAGAGCCGCTGAACTATTCGGTGCACCAGTTCTGGGGCTCTCCGGCCGGGCTCTCTGGGACTCGAGACCCACGCCCAGGCCTCCTTTCCCCAGAGGCAGGGAGCAGAGGCCGAGATCAGGAGCTGGGCCTGCTGCTGTATGACAGCACGGAGCTAAAGAGGGGTGTGTGTGTGTGTGTGTGTGTGTGTGTGTGTGTGTGTGTGTGTGTTTGTTAGAGAGAAAGACTTCTTGCTATCCCAGTAATTGTGACACTCAGTACCCTCAAACCAAAGTGGCCAGATCAGCTGCTTCTCCTCTCCACCGAAGCTTTGTTGGAGTCTCACAGAGGATAGAGCTGATAAGCTCATTTCTGACGGTTTTACATAGTAGTCATATGGGACTTCAGAGAGGACACCTCATGTCATGGAGAGAACCAGCTTCTGAAGCTGGATCAGCCAGATTCTCCCCTCGCCTTTCTGAACCCCAGTCGCCTCTGTGAAATGGGATGTGGGGCACCTGCCAGGCGACCCCTCCTCACTTCGGAGCTGGAGGGCAGAGGGGAGGGCTCATTCACCCTTAACCCCAGGCCCCAGACTTCTGGAGGCAGGAACAGTAGTGACAACGGTCATTGGGGTGGCAGAACACCCATCTCGGCCTCATGACACTCGGGTGTCACACTTGGCCCAGCCACCTCTGTGACCTTGATTGAGCATGTTGCTTCATCTTGGGGACTATACCTGTGAAGTGGTGAAAGCAGAGGAGATGTAAACAAGTAAGGTCTGTGAAAACCAGCCAGGAGACTTGCTCCCCACCACCCCGGCCCCCAGCTGTGCCCTCCTGGTTCTCCTGAGCCACCCAGTGCCTCCTGCTCTTCAGATGGGGGTGAGGGGCAGGCATGGGCGGGAACCCCAGGTGCGGAACTGTTGGGGCCTGCCAGGTCCCGCAGAGGGGACAGAGGCCTGGCACAGGCTGGCACCTGCATTCCTTTCAGTCCACACCTGGCCCTCTCAGCGGGGGCTCCTCCCCAGGTTTGCATAAGATCTAGGCCATCTCCACCCTTCCCCTTCCTGTGGGGTCCTGTGGTCCCTGCCTTTGGGTCTGTGGGATTCCGAGATAGAATCGAAAGAAGCAGATATGCAATAAGCCAGGATGGGCTGGAGAGACAAAGAATCCAGTGCGGATTCCCGGGTTTCTGGCTTGGAAGGTGGGGTGGATAGTAGAAGTGAGAGAACTGATAGTAGAAGGGATAGAAGAACATACAGATAGTGGAAGAGGAGTCAGAGCGCATCTGGAGAAACCAGAAACCACGTTCACATCCAGCAACAGCGGATTGGTTCAGTAAGTTATGAGACATCCTGGTGAGACCAGTTCTTAGAAAACAAACTTTTGATGTCTGTAAAGATCAGTTATATAGCTGTATCATTTAGCCAAACCTCTGCTGTATACTTCTGGATTTTCCTCTGGTTTGAATTGTGCTATTATAAATAACACCGAATAAGCAGCCTTTTTTACAAAGGTCTTCACCATTCCGATTACTGTTAGAAGAGAAAGGTTGCAGTCATCAGATACAGAAACAGCCTTCAGGCTTTTGGTCATATTGTCAGTTTCATTTTAGAAAGGCTCTACCAGTTTTACTCCTATAGCGGAGTGCAGGAGAATCCCGCCTGGGTGTGCCGACCGCCACAGTGCCAAGCAAGATACATACAGAGAGACACATGCACACACGTACACATATTTTATTTATTTATTTATTTTAAGATCTTATTTATTTGACAGAGAGACAGAGAGATCACAAGTAGGCAGAGAGGCAGGCAGAGAGAGAGAGGGGAGGAAGCAGGCTCCCTGTGGAGCAGAGAGCCCTACGAGGGGCTTGATCCCAGGACCCTGGGATCATGACCCGAGCCAAAGGCAGAGGCTTTAACCCACTGAGCCACCCAGGCGCCCCAACGTACACGTATTTTAGAGGATAACAAGGAACATCTTATTTTAATTTGCGTCTCGTTGTCAATATTGGTTTTTTTATGCTTATTAACCTTGTGCTCTTTCCCTACTTTTATGGTGTCCTGTTAATTTTTTCATTAATTTTTAAAATATGTATTTCTTATTATCTGTGCAAAATGTTTCTCACTTTTTTGTTTCCCTCATAATTTGACTTATTCTATTTTTTAAAAAGATTTCTATTTATTTATTTGACAGAGACACAGTGAGAGAGGAAACACAAGCAGGGGGAGCAGGAGAGGGAGAAGTAGGCTTCCTACGGAGCAGGGAGCCCCATGCAGGGCTCGATCCCAGGACCCTGGGATCCTGACCTGAGCTGAAGACAGACATTTAATGACTGAGCCACCCAGACAACCCACTTATTCTATTTTTGATACAGCAAAACCCTTAAAAATGTTTACAAAGTCAGGATCTGGGGTTTTTGTTTTTTTAGTGTATTTCTGACATTGCATTAACATGTCAAAAGTTCAGTGATAAAATATACACCTCAATTTTCTTTTAGTTTTGCTTTTTTAGCATTTAGTAATTTCGTGTAGGGTATGAGGAGAGGAAGTAAAAGGATCTTTTTTCTAAAGAGCAGATTTTCAAATACCACTTGCTGAGAAAATGTTCTTGGGCCCACCGGTGGTGAAGCTTCCTTTTCCATAACCTTAGCTAAATGCATATAAATCTGTATATGGTTCTGCTTCCGGGCTCTCTTGGTTCATTGCTGTTTGTGTTGATTCTAAAACATCTATCAATGCCTTAATAGTTGCAAATTCGTAATATACTCTAATATCTAATATGTAAGTTTGGGGGCTATTTTTGGTAAATTTCAGAAGTCCTATTGGGATTTTTCTTAGACTTCTGTTAAGCCCACATGAATCTGGGCAGACTTGGCATTGCGTTAATATTCAGCCTTCCCATCCAATAACATAGTTTGTCTCTCCCGTTTCTTTTTTTAAGTCATTCTTTTACGTCTCTCGATAAGGGATTATCGCTTTTTTAAAAGTAGTATTTCAGGTCACGTATCTTTAACTCTGTCGCTCAGTAGTTGATATTTTTGTTAGGATTGCAAATGGGATCTCCTTTGTAGTATATCTGGTGATGGTTCCTGTTGGAGTTCACGTCCCATTACTAAATTATTCTGTCCATTCTAAGTTTAGTTGTTTTTCTCAGGTTTTCTAGGCAAATAACAAACACCCTGAGATACCAGGTTGGAGTCCATGGCTGGGGAATGCCTCCAGTTTGCAGGGTTGGTGCGATTCTCTCCAGCAGTAGCCGGAGCCCAGTGGGTGGAAAAGGTGGATGAATGAGTCGAGCCCAAGTTGAGGGGCTCCCAAGGCTGGGGCAATAGAAGGGCAAGGGGCATGGGGCTGTGAGCTCTCCTGTGTGCTCCCTAGGGTGACCGACTTCAGGGACTAGACCAGGAAGGGCTCATGGACTGTACAGAAAGGTAGGGCTTGGGGCTGGAGGAAGGGAGAGGGTCAGGAGAGGATGTTGTGGCCCTGGAATGGATGCTGGGATGTCAAGTTTTGAGACCTGATGCCTTTCCTGTACAGGACTGGGCTCCCCGAGATCTCCACTTTGCAATTAGAGCCACTAAAGCTCTGAGAGCTTGTCACTTGCCTAAAGTCACCCACTGCTAATCAGTGGCATATTGTGTTCTGCTGTGCCTTACTAGCTCACGTTCTGTCCTTATTTTTCAGGTTCACTTTAGAACAGTTAACTGAAAGCAAGGAGAGACAGCAGAAGGGAAAGGAGGCGAGCCCAGCAGAGCAGCTAGGAGAGAGAGGGCAGGCTCCTCGTGGGCCCCTCAGCTGCAAAGAGGAGGGGACAGCTGGGCTGCTGGGTCCTCCTGCTGACCCAAGAATCCCCTCGAACCAGAACGGCACACCTCAGGGCCCCACCCAGAAGTGCCCCTGCCCTGCGATTCACTCTATGTCCTCCCTCACACATGGTGGCCCCACCATGTCCCCCACCACCTACTCTTGTCTCTGTCATACATCCTGTGTCGTGACCCCCCACCCCTGACCGTAGCACACCAGCTTATCCCTCTACCAGGCTGTCTGTTCCTTGTGCCCCCGGTCCCCCAGTATATACATAATGTCTGCACCTTGTTTCTCGTTTGCCTGTACACACTTGGGGCCCTGCCCCCACACACACGGTCCCATGACGAGCTGTGTGCCCAGCTCACGCCCACTTATGCTGTGTCTGCAGAGTGCTTCTGATGGCTTCTGGAAATCTGTGGCCACGCGAGTGCCCAAGGAGCCCCCCGAGATTCGCATCCTCAACCCGTACTTCATCCAGGAGGCTGCCTTCACCCTCATCGGACTGCCCTTCAACAATGGCCTTATGGGCCGTGGGGTGAGATGGCAGGACCCTGGGGGATGGCAGAGGGGAGCTGGGCCAGAGATGCCTCAGGAGGGGAGGACAGGGTGGCAGGGTGGGGGGGCAGGGGCCCAGCCCTGGGGCCTGGAGCTCAGCTCTGGTTAGTGTGGTTAAGGGTCTCAGCCTGGCTCAGTAATCCAGCTGAATTCTGCCCTCCTCCGTGCCCTCCAGAACATCCCGACCCTTGGCAGCGTGGCGGTGACCATGGCACTACACGGCTGTGATGAGGTGGCAGTCGCAGGCTTTGGCTATGACATGAGCACGCCCAACGCACCCCTGCACTACTACGAGACCGTGCGCATGGCGGCCATCAAAGAGGTGCCGGGCTGGGTGGGAGGCAGTCCCTGGGCAGCGCCGAGGGAGGGATGCTCCCAGCACAAACGGACAGAGTGGGGTGAACCAGTGGCTGGTCCAGCTGCCCTGAGCCCTGCCTTTAGCTAAGTTGGATCACAGGCGATCCATCCCTGCCTCTGGGTCTCTGGTCACCAAGCATCCTCTGTGCCCCTGAACCTAGCGCCCCCTTCCCTGCCCTTCTCTCCTCGAATTTTCCCTCCCTGGCACGCTCCCTGCCCTGGTCCTGCACCTGCCTCATCCTTGCTCTCCCCAACTGCCACATGCTAATCCTGGCACCAGCTCAGCACCATCTTCCCCTAGAAGACTTCCGTGCCCTCTCAGACCACCCAGAGACATTGCCTCTCCATGCCAGACAGTCCCTGCACCCCTCTGCGTTCCCTGGGAAGGGACGCCCTGTAGCATGGGTGCTCTTGATCACCCAGAATGGCTTCCCAGGTGGTCCACATGTCCAGGTGCCTTCACGTTCAAGAAGCATTCCCGGTGTCCGGGCTGGCAGCCAGCCTCTTCTGACAGCATCTTTGCCTTCACATCCAGAGCCCATGTGAATCCCTCTCCCAGTCCCCTCACTCCCACCACCGGCCTTCCACGGATGCCAGCCCACGACCTGCACATCTTGGGCCAGTGCTTTGATCAGCTTCTCTGCTTCCACAGGGGGGCTGGGGTGGAGCGGGTATTGGAGAACACCTCCCCTCTGTGCAGACTCCTAGTCCTGTAAATGTAGTGCTTCCCATCTCAGCCAGCCCTCCCTCCTGCTCAGCACCTTTTCACATGCCCCCCTCCAGCCCCGAGCCCTGGATTCCCTGAAGGCTCCTGCACCATCCCTGTGTCCAATGGGAGCACAGGCTACAGCGGGGACTCGGGCAGCTCCTGTGGGCTCGTCCCCTCTGCCCTCCTCACTCCGTCACAGCCCGACTTCCCCCTTCCCCTGCCATGACTCCCACAAAGGTCACCATGACTCAGCGCAAGGCTGTCAAATCCAGTGGACACGTGTAAGCCTCATTTCTCCTGACCTCTCAGAAATGCTTTTTAAGTTGACCACTCCTTCCTCTTTGAAACTTTTCCTGCTCGGACTTGGGAGTCCGTGATCTCGGGTGTTCCTCTCATTTCACTTGCCAGTCTCTCTCATTCTCTTCCTCAGCGTCCTTGATTTCAGTCCACCCCCCGAGTCAGCATTCACTAGGGCTCCATCCTGGACGGTCTTCTCACATTCCACGTTCTCCAGGAGCTTGACGTCCCCATCTGTGGGTTAAGTTCCTTTCTGTAGGATCTCGCATGTGTTGTTCACTCAGGCACCTTAAGCCATGAGAAGTTATTGCAGGAATTTAAGCGTGCCTTGGGAAACCCGGAACAGCCTTATGGTTGCCTTATCCCTGTTGCCTGGAGTGGGATTCAGGAGTGGGGGGCCCACCGCGGGGCTAGGACAGCTCCAGATTGATGCGATCGCCTTCAGTAGTGGTTCCAGGCCTGCCTCCTCATTGCCAGGACCCCGTTGGTCTTTCCCTCTGTGTCTCTTTGTGTATCTTCTTGCCTTTTGGGCCCCTGCCTGCACCCACTCGGAACCATTAACACAGCATTCACCTGTCTCCTGGCTTCTGTTTCGTGGTATCTTTGGCCTCTTACACACTGCTTTCATGCAAACTTGGTGTCCGGGTTCCAAGCAGAGGGTGGGAGGCTGTAGCCAGCTCCCGCAGGGCTTCTTGTGCTGCGGTGAGGAGTTTGGACATCGCTCCACCGGCCAGGAGGAGCCATGGGAGGGTTTCAGGCTGCATGTAGTAGGTCACTAGCATGTAGTGCGTCACCTACTAGCATGTAGTAGGTCACTCTGGCTGCAGCACGAAACAGAAGGCCACAAGGCAGAGATTGAGCTAGCCGGGGGCCTGTCCCAGCAGTCTAGGCAAGACACGAAGACTCTGTCGACTCCAGAGTGGATGAGAAGATGGAGACAGACAGAATTTTCGATCGGTAGGGCCTGGGTCTGCCCCAGTGCAGGAATGAGGGAGAAGGGCTACACCTTCCCTGAAGCCCTTGGTGGTGCCTGTTCCCTTTCTTCTTGGGCATGCCAGATCTCAGTTTCCAGGCCAAACCGCCCCCCCACCCCATCCCCATCATCCTCTGAAACTGGCTGCCTTGATGCTCACAGCATTGGCTACACCTGCTCCATGCAGGGTGCTGGGGACTTCAAGTTAGGAGATCCCATGGCCTGGGTGTAGAACCTGACTCTGTACCTTTCTTTCCTTCCCAGTAAGGGGGTAATGATAGCACCTATTCCCTAGGTTTGGGGAAGATTAAACCCAATAATGTGTTTAGAAAAAAAGGCTTGGCACCCAGTAAGCATTCATACTGTTAGTTGTTATTATTAACGTTTTATCTGTACTTGTCACTGTTAACCTCCCAATATCCTGGTTGAGGATTCACTGGAAATGCTGGTGCCTGTGTTTGGGGTCCCCACTGTCCACCTTGAGTGTCTGCAGGAAGCACTTGAACTGTCCAGCTCCCTGGCCCAAGCACTGTTCCCCTCTGCTCGGCCCATGGGCCCATTCTCCACGCCCAGCAGGAAGGGGCGGGCAGCCGAGGTTCCGTGCTGGGGGATCTACAAGGAACGTCAAAGGAGTTTGGAGAGGGGACAGAGCGAAAGAAGGAAGGAGTTAGGAAGGTGAAGGGTTGTGGAGACCAAGGGAGCAGCGCGCAGGGACAGTCTACCACATCTGGCGCTGTCGAGAAGTCTAGTGAAAGGAGCACTGGGAAGCGGCGAGGGGCTGCACCAGTGAGGTGGCCCCGTGTATGGTGGGGAGAGCAGCCTCGAAGGCCAGTGGCTGAGCAGGGAGTAAAGGCAGTGCACAGAGGCAGGCGTGGTGCCCAGTACGTGCTCCCAGGAAGCAGGGAGGAGGAGGTGGAGGATGGAGCAGCAGCTCGCTCAGGGCTGATGTGGGCTCACACAGGACTGTGCGAGTTGTGTGAGTTGGGAGCACAGCTGCCTGTTGAGGTCCATGGCCCGCAGGGAGGGGAGCGATTGCCCAGGGAGAGGGAGAGCACAGAGCACCAGCAGTTGGCACAGCCCCCGGGTTTAATGACTGGGTGAGGGGCGAGGAACCAGAGATGGAGGAAGGAAAAGAGCTGTCAGAAGGACAGCTGCATCCAGAATCGGGGTCCTGCTGAGGCTCGGGACCCAGGACTGCCAGAATTCGGCCCCAGCCCGTAGATGGTGTAGACAACACAGTATAGACAGCTCTGGTAAGCCCCTGTGCTGTCCACGTGGAAGGGAGAATGAGGTGGCTTTGCCTGACCTAAGAGAGCTACAACCCAGGGCCAGTCGTTGTGTTCCCTGTTTTATTATGGACACTGTCAAACATACTCATCAATGTAGACAGTAATATAATGAGCGCTCATGCATCTATCACTGACCTCCCTCAATTATCAATGCCTGGCCAGTGTTCACCTGTCCTCCCTTTCGTGCACCCCTCCCCACTGATTATTTGGAAACAAGTCTCAGATATCATATCATTCTGACCATAAATATTTCAGTAACTTTCTCTAAAAGATAGGCACTTTTTAAAAATTATCATAATACTATTATCACACCTAAAAATCTTTTAACAGTTTCTTAATATCATAAAAAATGTCCAGTCTTGGGGTGCCTGGCTGGCTCAGTCAGAAAAGCATGCAACTCTTGGTCTCAGGTTCATGAGTGCCAGCCCAACAATGGGTGTAGAGATGAGTAAAAATAAGTAAACAAGCTTTTTAAAAAAATCCAGTCTTCCCCTGAGCTTTCAACCGTCAGTGACTCCTGGTGGGTGTTCTTGAAACAAACCCATCAGTGATTGCTTCTTCATGGGGGTGATAGAGGGGAGGCGTAAGGAAAGAGTGGTCTAAGTGTACACATTTGTTTGGATCCTGGCCCTGCCATTCCTCCAGGCCTCTGTGTTCTTACCCTCAAAATCTAATTTCATTCAGCACATCTTTATTGAGCACCTACTGTGTGCCGAATAGTCCCTGCCTTCAAAGAGAGACAGTGTGCCGAATGAGTGACTCTTCGAGGGATGAGGGCAGATCACGCTGGGGGTCTGCAGCAGGAAGGGACAGGTCACAGATGGCAGAGTGTTGTGACAGGAGCCTCAGGGGAGCCAGAGGTTTTAGGGAGTTTGGAGGGGCAGTGGTGTAGACGCAGTGATTGAGAGAGGCAGACCCTGCAGACCTTCCAGGCACCGTGGAATGTGGAGTGGAGAGAAGAAACAGTCACCATTTGAGATGTGTCTGGGGGACACTGTCCTTAGGAGCAGCCAGGTTCATGGTTAGCCCAAGAAGTTGAAGGGCATAGTCAGAGGATACAGGGAATTTGGCCTGTGTTTCCGATCAAAAAGACTTGGCAAGCTGGAGAAGGTGGACTGGAAGAGACTAGGGCCAGGACAGAGCCCTGGGTCCTTAGCCCCAGCCAGCAGTGCCCGTGAACACCACGGTCAGGCTCCCGCAGTGCGGTCAGGTACATACAAACTCCGAAGAGGCTATCTGCTTTCCCTGAGCCAGTCAGTCCGTACTTTTTCATTCTTTGAGGGACTTAGCCACCAGAGCCTCCTGGTACAAGTACCAGGGACAGGAGAGAGCCTGAGCCCAAGTGGTCTTCGCCCAGGAAAGGCCCAGAAGGCGGCATCTTCCCTGTAATTTCCACATTCACAGAAAGGTGAGCCTCTTGTCCTCAGCCCCCCACCCCCACCCCCCGGCTCCTCTGATCTGGGAGGCAGGATTTCATCAGCCTGGAGACCGCGTTGCATCAGGCCAGAGGATGACTAAGTGACCCCACGCAGTCCTCCTTCCAGCAGGGCACAGCCCCCAGGTCTGGGCCAGCTCTCCCTGACTCACATGGTCTACCCTCAGGGTGCCTAGGAGCTAGGTGCTCTGGATGCACAGCTAGACAAGGAGGTGACGTCTGTTGAACAGAGTGTGTGAAGGCCCCTGTCTTCGAAGTCTTGGAAGGAGAGGACAGGCAGAGTTCTCGTAGGGCGAGGAAAGGGGTTCTGGGAAGGGAGGACGTTGAGCAGATTTCCCAGTCACAGAGCACTGGGAGAGTGCTGGGCAGAGGAGAGCACCGAGCTCCACTCATCCCTTCCCTGTGCCTTGCCTTCCAGTCCTGGACGCACAATATCCAGCGAGAGAAAGAGTTTCTGCGGAAGCTGGTGAAAGCACGTGTCATCACTGACCTAACCAGCGGCATCTGACGTGGGCGCAGCACATGGCCACAGAGGTCCTGGCACCGCCAAGAGGAAGCAGCAGCCACCACCACCTGCCCACCCCATTGGCCTCAGTCTGGCTCTGCCTAAAAGGCGCAGGAGTCTTCAGACCCAGAAAAGGACAGTGCCAAGTGGCCCCAGGGGTGGCGAGGCCTTGGCAGGGCAGCCAGAGCTGTGTCTGCCCAGAGGCCAGCCTCAGAGACCAGCACTTAGCCTCATTCTCAGCCTGGGTCCTTGAAGTCAGAGGGCCGGAAGGCCACCGGCTGTGCCCAGCAGGCCCAGCATGCGGGAGGTGGACATCAGGCAGCAAGGCTGCTGCTGGAATCATTTCTCCAATCAGTGTTTGGTGTATTATCATTTTGTGAATTTGGGTGGGGGGGGAGGGGCGGGATAATTTATTTTTAAATAAGGTTGGAGATGTCAAGTTGGGTCCACTTGCCATGCAGAAAGAGGCCCACCAGGGGGCCCGCCGGGCAGTGGTACCAGCAGCCTCCCTGGAGAGTGGGGGGGTGCCACGACTAGCCCATGCCCTGCTTGGGGCTTGGCGGAGGTGGGCAGGATCTCATGCCAGCCCCCTCCTGCTCCTGACACTGTTTGGCCCTTCTTGAGGAGAAGATGGGGTATTCCCATTCACCAGCCCCTAACTACCCCACAGGGAAACCTGGAGCCATCATTTAAGCCAACAAGACAGATCCTGGCTTAAGCAGAGAGAACTTGAAAGCTCTTGCTTTCTTGAAACCTCTTGCCAGGAGGCAAGGCCTGGCCGAGCCTGATGGAAATGCCCCCCGCCCCCCAGCTGATCCGTAGGACGGTGCCCCAGCCTGGACTGACCAACTCGGCAGCTGTTCTGGATTTCAGCAATGAGACTGTCAGGTCCTTGGGTTCTGCCTTTAGCCTGGACTGGAGGGAAATGAGGCTCAAGGACCTTGTCCAGGCTGTGGCAGCCATCCTGGAAGCAATAAAGCTCTTCCCTGAATCTGGCCTCCTCTGCTTTCTGTGATGCTCCTGAAAGAAGCAGGACCCTGGGGCCTTGGCAACGGCATGAAAGCCAAGGGCCATCTCTCTAGCCCACAGATTCCTGGGCCCCTTCCTCTTCTCCTTCTGAAGCCTCTCCCATCCCTCACAGTCCCGCACCCTCTTCACCTTAAGAGAGGCCGACCCGAAGTAGGAGGGCATGCCCCAGGGTCTGCCCTACCCCGAAGGAGCCAGAGGGCAGGGGGCTGAAGTCCACAGGGCCCCAGAGCCCCAGTTACACAGGGACAGAGATTCCTGCAAGCTCAGGAAAACGATGTGCTGAGCCCCGACATAGAGAGGCTCCTTGACCAACCTTACTCCTGGCTCCCAGGGCTGAGCTCCAGAGGGAATAGGCCCCGTCCCCCCCAGAGCACAAAGGCGCACCCCTCCCCGCAACCCCTCTCCATCCACACAGTACAGGAAGGCAGAGCCCAGCTCTAGGCACCCCCAGGTGAACCCGGGAAAGGACACCCCCCACCCCGACCCCGAGAGACCTAGAATCTGATGGCTCCCCTCCCAGGGTACCCAGGCAGACCTGAGATCAGGGCAAACCATGCCCACATCTGAGGCATGGAGTGCACTTCCTGCCAGAGCTGCCACTGTGGCAGTAAGTGAGGCTGGCCGGCCCCCTTGCCTCCCGCCTGCCTTCCCAAGGGCCACCAGCGTCCCATATGCCCCCTTAACTGCTGTGGTTGGTTCTCGGGCAGAAGCCGCCTCTGCTGGGGGGAAAGCCAGGCCCTGACGGAGGGACAGGCACACCCAGAACTCCCTTGGGATGCTGCTGGAAACAGGGCACCATTCCAATGAGTTCCCGCATTCTACGGGAATGCGCCCCCTGGAGTTGTACCAGGCCTAGGTGGCTGCCTACAAGAGTCAGCCATGACTGAGCCCCAGGTTGCAGGAAGCAACAAAGGGAGGAGCTATTCCCTGCGTGGTCCCCTGTCCCCCAGGGGTCCTGTCAGGCCCGCAGACAGGCCCTGTGCCCCCCACCCCCAGCAGGTCTCTGTGCTCTGGCTTCCCCTGCACGGGACCTGCTGTCACAAAGCTACGGTTCTCGGCCCTGGCCATACACCAGGCGAACCCGTGCAAACTGGAAAACCTGCACATGCCCACCCCAAGATTCTGATTCAGGTCTGGGGTGGGGCCCAGATGTGGGTGGTTTTTAAAGGTCCACAGGTGATTCTGATGCATAGACAAGGCCTAGCTGGTCCGCACACGTCCCCTGAGCACTTTCCTCCCCACCCACGGCTCCCAGTTGTCGGCTGGTCGGCAATTCCCCAATTGCCCTCTTCAGCCCAGCTCTCTCCGCTTTGCTCCAGGCTACACAGTTGGCTACTTCCTGAACATGGCCACTAAGGTAATCCACAGGTCCTTCCAAAGCCACACGTCAAACACCCAACTCCGGAGCTCCTGTCTCCAACCCATCCTCCTCAAGGGAGCCCCGCTGCCTGCATGCACCCCTCCACCTGGTCACCCGGGCCAGAGGCGCATCTTTGTCTGTCTTACCTCTTCATCCCATCCAATCAGGCACCAACTGAGTCCAAGAAGCTGTGGTCTGAAAAGCCTTGTGGCCCTCTGCCCCCCCACCCCGAGTCTCTGCCTCAGTCTCCTCTCTCCCCAGCAGCCTCCCTACGTCTCCCACCACCACCCCCCAACCAGCCAGTCACTGTAACACATGTCTGGTCGCACCAGTCTCCTGCCTGCCACCTTCAGTGGTCCCCAGTCCACTGGTATAAAGTCCAGACTCCCCAGTATGACACACAGGATCTGGCCTTTCCTTACCTCTATCCGTGTTACTCAACCTCCACCTCACCTGCTAAATTGCTGTAATTAGGCACCTGAAACACTACCCTCCAGCTCCTACCTCAAAGCTTCCGTGCATGCGTCTCTCCTCTGTGACCCTCCCCTCTGCCGCCGGGGCTCCCGCTCCTACCAGTGCGGCCCCAGGGAGCGCAGCGTTTGCCTGGCGGGCGGCAGGGAGGCTGGAGCAGGGTCAGGCCTCCGGAGCCCCAGCGCCCCACTTCACCAATCCGACAAGTCCATGGTTCTGCGGAGAGAAGAAGCTTGCGGTGGGCCAGGGTTCGGAGAGCAGCCACGGTGGCTTAGCCAGCTGGGACCCCGGAGCACACGCCAATCTCTGGGCCCCACAGCAGAGGCAGCGACCGGCCTGTCTCCTCCCTGCCCGCCCTCCGCCCAGCCTCCCAACTCCCTACTTTGCGTGCCTACAAACTCTGAACTCCCAGTTCCCGTGCCTCTCCACCGCCCGGGTTCTCCACTCTGCATCCCCAGGGTCCCTTCCCAGCGTCTCCTCCCCCAGCCCAGCTTGGGGGACCTAGCGTATCCCGGGGGGACCGGATCACAGCAGGTGGAGCGGCCAGGTGAGCCCTGAAAGGTGGGGCTGGGCGGGGGCGCTCCGGGCCCCACCCCGGGATCCGGTGACGCCGGGGCTGGAATTTGACACCGGATGGCGGCGGGCATGAGGCTGCTAAGGGATGGAGTTGGGCTCGGCCCCCAGACACGGCCCACGGGCTCTGCCAGCAGCAGGTCCCTTGGGCCCCAGCCCTCACTGCGTCCCGGACCCAGAACCCTGCACCGCGGTAAGCCGACCTGTTGGCCCACCCTTGTCCCAGCCCTGGGGCTAGGGGGAGCGGGCAGGAGAGTTCCCCTCCACTCCTCTCTCACATCCTCCCTCTCCTGGGCCAGAGGCATAGCTCTCCGCCCCTCCTGGCCCCCTCAGTCCCCCTGTCGCTGGTCGGACTGCGCTAGCCCGCCGTAATGTGAGGCTCCCGCTGCTGCTACAGGGCGCAGACTGGCTGCCAAGGCCACGCTTTTGGCTGAAAGGGGCGCTGCCAGGTGCACAGCCCTGGGCATGAGCCTTTTAAGCTGCGGAGGAAAGCTCAGCACTGGTCCCAGGAAAGGTGCCTAGAAGACCACAGAGGAGGACCCCTGTGGTGAGTATCTGGCTGGCAAGCGGGGAAGCAAGGACTGGAGGACCAAGTGGCCCCCAGACCGCTAGGAGGGAGACGGCCTGACCTGCCCTCAAGAGACCAGCTCCTGAGCTCCCCCTAGCGCAGGGGGTCACTGAGGCTGCCTGGCCGTGGCTTGCACTCCATCAATGAGAAGTCACTAGCCTGGTCCCTCGAGGCCGGATTCAAGTAGGAGCACACCAGGGAGGCCTGCCTGGGGTTGATCTGGTCCACAGGTATGCAGGCGTCCTGTGTGCTGTGGGGTGGGACCCACGGGCAGACCAGCTAGTGAGGGCTCTAGGGCCCCAGAAGGGTATTTGGGAATGCCAACCAGGGTAGGTTCACCAAAGTGTTGGTGGGGCTCAGAAAGGCTGGCTGGGCTCAGGAAGCATGGCTCATGGGAGAAACTTAGAGGAGCAGGGCCAGGCTACCAGACCCACAGGAAGCTGGAGGGGGACAGACCTGGACCAGCTCTCAAAGACCAGGTTGAAGTGGAGGCCTGGTTGGCCCTCCTGGGAGCATGAGTCTATCTGAGCACGGCCAAAAGCCCACCCCCTGCTTTGAGTCGGCAGGCTTGACAATGCTGCCCCCTGGTGGCCACAGGGAGCCATGCCCAGGCCCCATGTTCGAGGGCCCATCAGCCCCCATCATCCGCTGGCTCATCTGTGGGGAGAAGAGAGAACTCTGGAGGCCCTGGGTCCAGACAGAGATCACAGAGGAGCAAGGAGCAGCAGCGCTGGGTGGGCAACACGGGCTGACGCTGGGGCATCGCCGACATCAGATAGGTCAACAGCAAACACCCTGAATCCTCTCTAGTCCACATCTTCCTCCTCTGTGCCATGGAGACAAAGGTCTCTGTGGGACCCAGAGTGTCCAGCTACTTCTTTCTCCAGCTGCTCCTGGCAGCTGCAGCCCTGCGGCACAGAGCAGTGAGGTCCTGGGGCAAGAGACCTTGGGATGTGAAGCAGTCGCAGAGTTTCCCTGAGTCTTACTTGTGCAGGTGGAAAATGAGGATTATGCCAGCTACCTCATGGAGTTGTGAGGACTGAAAGAGGGAACAGGTGCAAAGTTCCAACACAAAGTTAGGTTCTCAATGCAGTTACTTCTCCTCCCGGGTTGAGTCCAGCCATCCAAGTCCCTTGTACTTCGTCTGGAAACACGGAAGAGGAGGGATGACCTACCCAGAGGATAACTCATCTCTCATTGTCCCAGGCTGCCTCAAGAGGAGGAGAGGGGTGGGAACAGGTCAGCTAGGGCTGATGGGCGCACCTGGTATTGACAGATGGAGCCCGGATGTGGAAGCCCTTCTGTGCTGCCCCACTGGCCCCCGCCTAGGCGGCAGGTGAGTGGTTCTCCCAGTGACTGCCATCTGGAATTGAGGGAAGGTGGTTTGAGTGGGGAGGCAGCGTAGGGCTTGGCCTGGGCTGGCGACAGAAGAGGTAGAAGGAACGGTCAAGGAGGGACCAGAAGTAAGGAGGAACGTCAGTGATCTGTCCCCTCGGCTCCCTGAGGCAGCAGACCCACTATCCTCCAACCTAAACCCTTGGGGAGCTCCCCTCACACAACTAAGCGCCCATCCTCTCTCTGAACCCCGCTGCCCCAGCCCCTTCGCGACCTCCCTCCACCCCAGCCGACCCAGGGGCCCTATTCCTCCCTGAGGCTCCACTGCTGTCTCTGCGCAGCCGGCCCTGTGGCCAACCCTGGCCGCTCTGGCCCTGCTGAGCAGCGTCGCCGAGACCTCCCTGGGCCCCGCGCCCCGCAGTCCCGCCCCGCGCCTCGGCCCCGCTCCGGCCCCGGCTCCCCCCACCGGCCACCTGCCCGGTAGGTGAGAGGGCGAGGGGGCGGGGCGGGACGGGACGGGGCTGGCCCGGGACCCGGTGCGTGACTCCGTCTCCTTGCAGGGGGCCGCGCGGCCCGCACGTGCGGCGGAAGAGCCCGGCGGCCGTCGCCCCAGCCGCCCCGGCCCGCGCCCCTGCCGCCCGCGCCCTCGCCAGCGCTGGCCCGCGGGGGCCGCGCGGCGCGAGCCGGTGGCCGGGACGGCCGCGCGAGCCGGGGGAGCCGCGCGCGGACGGCGGGGGCGCGGGGCTGCCGCCTGCGCTCGCAGCTGGTGCCGGTGCGCGCGCTCGGCCTGGGCCACAGCTCCGACGAGCTGGTGCGTTTCCGCTTCTGCAGCGGCTCCTGCCGCCGCGCGCGCTCCCCGCACGACCTCAGCCTGGCCAGCCTGTTGGGCGCCGGGGCCCTACGGCCGCCCCCGGGCTCTCGGCCGGTCAGCCAGCCGTGCTGCCGCCCCACGCGCTACGAGGCCGTCTCCTTCATGGACGTCAACAGCACCTGGAGAACCGTGGATCGCCTTTCGGCCACTGCCTGCGGCTGCCTGGGCTGAAGCCTCGCTCACGGGGTTGGCGGACTACACCCTTACCCGCGGCTTCTGGCGCCCGGGGCCCTCTCGCCGGAGAGCCCGGGGTGGGGTAGGGGCGGGGGGCGGCTGGGGCCTCGGCCCAAAACCGAGGCCTCTGCCCGGTGAATGATGGCCATGAGCCCCCTAGAGATGGAGGGACGACGGGCCTGGGGCCCTAGGGGCCTCGCCCTGCCAGTCCCAGCCCTGCAGACACCAGACACCTCAGCGGCGGAGACCTTGGGACCCGCTTCGCACAGACTCTGGCGCTGACTCGGCCACGGCCCCCTGGCCTCAGCCCAGGCCCTGGGGGCACAGAATCGGAGGAGACACACGGCAATCAGATTGCCCACGAGGGCCTGGACTCACTCGTGGGAGCTGGACCCCTATTTATTATTCCTAAGTTATTTATTTACTTCGGTGGTTTGTCAGATCCTTTCCTGGGCAGTGGGGCTGAACGGGTAACAACAGCTGAATGGGGATCAGGGGCTGGCCATCACCCTGTCTTCATGCTGACTCAGGAATCACATGCCTGGCCTGGATTTTCCATTGCTTGCCTGCAGCCACCAGCTCTGGGATATGGGGCATGGAATACAGGCAGAGTGGGTGGCACAAGGGTGTTCTCCAGTCCCAACAGGCCAGCTCACACACCCCTGCACCATCCCAAGCCCTTGGGACCCGGAGTTACAGTTGGAGAGAACCCTCCCCTTGCCACATCAGGCATTCTGGGGGCCTCACTTAATGTGTAATGACACAGAGAACCACAAACTGCCCCACCCCAGGGTCACTCATCTGTGTCCTACCCTCCAGGGCACTCTGACAGGTGCATACACTGCCTCTGCTTATAGACAATCCAGCACAGGGAGCTCACTGCCCACATTCCATGAAGCAGCCCAGGGCAAAAGAGCATCTGCAAAGGCTGCGGTGGGGGAAGAAGGTGCAACTGGTTTGAGGGCGGGGGGATGAAGCAGAGAGCATCAAGGGAATTAGAGGGCAGGAAAGGACTGAGGGGCCCCCCATAGGGACCTGCATTTTGAGAGATGAACAAGGATATTCATTTATTCATTCAACAAGTATTTATTAATTACCTATTATATGGTAGACACCAGAGATACAGAGGTGAAAGGGACATGATCCCTGCCCTTAAGCTTAACTCAGGAGAGACAGACTATAATTATGGAAGTTCAGTTTGACAGATAGTATGAAAAGGACAAGAAGCTAAGAGGTACACACCTGCTTCTGGAAGGAAGGAGAGGTTAGTTCTGACTCTGGCCTTCCACAGTGTCCCCGAGTCATCTCTCAAAAGTCAGTGCAATCATCTGAGCTTTCCTGCCTGTCCCTGTGAAACCCTGTTTCCTGGGTCCTGTGAATTTGTCTGATATGATGTTCTTCTTTGGAAATAAGATGAGGGCCTGCATTTAGAAAGGATGCCAAGTCTGAGGAAGCACAGGGCGTCGAAGGGCCATCGGGAGGAAGGGATATGTGGTCTGGAGCTGAGAAGGGAGGTCTCGACTGGAGATAGATTTGGCAGCTGTGAGTACAATGGCAGTGGCTGTAGCCAGGGGCGCATGAGAGCACGGTGGGAATGAGCTGGCTGAGGGTGGGACCCCTCGGGCATCTGCCACTGCTAACCAAAATTCCTTCCAAACTGTCTAAGTGCCTGGCTGCTTTGGCACAGTTGCCTCCTTCATTCGGGCCAGAGTGAGGAGCAGACAACAGGGATGGCTGTATGCGTTCTGGGTCAAGGAGGAGAAACGGGTCTGTGCTTCCACTCTTCCATTTTCACTGCCCCAGTTCTAGGTGCTCCCCAAACTCTGGTGCTCTCACACTGCCTTCAAACACCCCTTTGCCCCGTCTCTCTTCCTCCAAACTGATTGAGGATCCTCAGTCCCCAGCCCTTCCCACCTGCACCCGAAGAAAATGGAACCAGTGCCATGCAGTTTGCAGACACCTCATGGAGGCCTAGGCCCTGGCCCTGGCTGGGGATGAAGGAGGACATCCCATCAAGCAGGGTCATCAGGTTCAGGGAGCCCCTGCTGGAAAGACTTGAAAACCTGGCCTAGCCCCCAAGCCCTCCAGACCCTGTCCTTCAGTGGTCATTTCAGCTCTCAGAGCCACTTAAAGAAGACAGACTGAAACCACCTCTGACAATGCTCAAGAGAGCACTGACCTGGCAAGAGAGCCAGGTCAGAACCCAAGCCAAGGGTGCTGGCTCTCAACAGTCCTGATTGCCAGTCCTTGAGCAAGTAGGGTCCCTCCAACTCAACGATGCATTCTGGGCCCCAGAGAGATTGTGCCCAACATCTCACACAGCCCCAGCTGAAACTGTACCTTCTCTAAGAAGAACACAGTCCCACAAGAACCCAAATCCCTCTTAAAGAATAAAATAAAATAAAATAAAATAAAATAAAGCCCTTTCCCCCAAAGGAACAAGTTCCAGAGCCCGTAGTTCTCAGCCTACAACTTCGCAGAGGTCACTGGCATGTGAACTCACCAGGCAGAGCACTTTCCAGTCCTGGAAGCCACAGGTGGTATTTCCATTCTTGACCGTAGTCTTTGTTTCACATTTGCAAAAAAAACTACATTGCTCCTTTGAGTGGTCTTCCCAGAACCAAGCTATGTTCTCCTCCAAAGGGCTATCAAGTCACCAACTCTTATAAGATGGAAAACTACAGGCAGCTTTGAAATGGCAGTTTTTAAAGCTTCAGGGAGCACCCAAAACTTCCCTGAACATTTGGTTCATCCAGGAACTGAGGTGTGGGGTTCCATGTGCTGCCCCCTGCACTTGCCAATGGCTTTCTTCCTCTCCTGTCCAAAAATGGTGCTGTTTCCCCTATGACAGAGTGCATGTGCACCAGCTGACTCACTGAGGTCTCATCTGGGAAAGGAGAGGCTGTGTAGAAATCTAAGGGATCAGAGAAAAGATCTAGGAGAGTCTGCACTATGTGAGATCACCTTTCTTGGTCACAGGAGTGGTTCTTAACCTGTTTTGGGGTTGTAAAGTCCTTAGGAACTCTGATGAAAGCCGGGGGGTTCGCTCCCTGCACCCCCAAATGATGAATTCAATTTATCCTACATCCTACAGATAGGTTTTTCTAAAATGCAAATCCAATCATCACTGCCCACTTGAAACCCCACTTAAGATTTGTTGAATGACTAGACTCCCACTAGATTTTGCTTCCAAGCTAATCCAGCCCCCCTCCTTACACCTTTCTTTCTATTCTTCAAGCCCAGACCAAGTTTCTCCTCCTCAGGGAAGCCTACACTCACCTTCTTCAGCCTTAGCAGGTATTGCCAATGTCAGCTGCCTCCACTGAATACAAATACAAGTCCTCCTTTCCCTTTTGATCATTTTCCCCCTGCTGGGATAACTGGCAAGAGTTAATAAAAGATCGGGGTGCCTGGCTGGCTCATTCGGAAGAGCATGGAACTCTTGATCTCAGGGTTGTGAGTCTGGGCCCCACCGTTGGGTGCAGAGATTATTTAAATAAATAAACTTTAGAGTTATAAAAGTTATAACTTTATAACTTTTATAACTTTAGAGTTATAAAAATAAGAGTTAGCATAAGGACAAGTGGAAGTGAAGGAGTAGGGTCTGCTGGGGTCTGCGGTCAACCAGATCTATGCTGGTCTCTGCTACACTAGCTGAAAGCTCAACCTTTCTCAACCTGTTTCCTCATCGGAAAATGGTGACTGAAAAACCCACCGCAGAGTTGTCTAGAGAATCGGACTTAGGTATGCAAAGTACTACTTGTTCTTAGCACTTAAATGTGAGCTGTTCTTATTCTAATTACTCATAAAGAGAAGCTGCTTCCAAGCACCCTAGGAAATTCTCCGAGTACTGTCCATGGTATGTGGTTTCCTGGTTGGTCACTGGGCACTCGGAGAGCCGTCCTTTTTTTTATTCCTGGGGCGCACCAAGCCCCCTTTCTACTGTGGGCGGTGCTGATGCCTTCTGACCAGATCGCCCTCTTCCCGGACCCCAGGAGGCGCCGGCAGCGCGGCACCACAGTGACCTGTTTCTCCACGCCAGGCCCCAACGCACGCCTTTTCCTCTAGCCTGCATTCCCAGCTCCAACCACCGGCCCCCTCGGTCACGTCCTCCTAGGGAACTGCTCATCAGCGCCTCCCGCAGATCTCCCTGTAGCCGGCCGGAGGTCTGGGGCCGGCGGGGCTCCACTGGTCCCCAGCCCACGTGCTCCCGACCTCAGCCGCAAGGCGCCGCCCTCCCGCTAGCCGCAATGCGGACTACGTTTCCCAGGGTACCCAGCGGCGGGGCCTTGGCTCAGTGGGGGCCTCGAGCGGCGCGCCGCTCCGTCGCCTGCTCGGGGGCGCGCGGGCCGGCGCGAGGACAAGACCAGAGACCCGGAATGAGTTTCTGCGCAGTTCCGCTGGGCCGTGCCGGGCTGGGCCGTGCCGGGCCGGGCCAGGGCAGGCGCGGGGGGAGGGCGGCATCTGAGTCGGCTGTGCCGGGAACAGGCGCTGGGGGCAGCCCGCGCCTCGCTGAGGTCCCCGCCCCGTCCCGGCCGGGCCGGCTCGCCTGTCAGTCACTAGGGCGGCGGCGGCGGCGGTAGCGGGGCCGGAGCTGGACGGTGAGAAGAGCGCGGGCCAGGCCGAGCGGAGGGGACCTGCCACAGCCCCTCAACTCTACGGACTCTTCGCCCCAGACTCGCGAAGCTGCACCCCTGCGCCTCGTCGGACGCCTCCGTAACCCGCGAAGGGCTCTCTCCCTCGTCACCCCCTACCCCGTGACCTCCTCGTAGGACCCGAGAGCTCCCTCAGACGAGGGTGTTGTGGGTACAGACCATCGACCCTGTGACCTCTCACGGGCCAGGGGCTCGGTTTCCCCCACAGGCCTGCCTTCCCTATGACTCCTTCCTCAGAGATTCTGGGGACAGAGCCGTAACCCACCACCGGGACCCCCGCCTGCGAACTCTTCACTGACGGCTCCCTCCTCGGAGTCCCCCTCATTGGCTTCCTCTTAAGAGCACCCTTTTGGCCTCTGGCAAGCCCCC